GGAATCACCCGGGGCTTTGAGAAAAACCCCAGCGTCCAGCCCCACCCTTATCACCCAAATCCAAATCGCTGGGCTGGGACCCTATATCCGCATGGTTTAAAACTCCCCCAGGTGATTCACATATGTGCCCAGGACTGAGAACCTCCCATTCTAGCATTCTAGAAGCTCCCTGTGCCATGAGGGTGGGGAGGGGTCTGTTTTTCTCACTGTTACAAGCCCAGCACCTATAGCCCTACACGGGCATCTATTAGGCGCTGATGAGACATTTGCTTAATGGATGCGTGAGATCCACCCTCAGTCCACCAGGCCCTGCACTGCCTCACCATCGCACCTCTCCGCCACAGTGCCTGGAAAGGGCTGTGCTTTCTACAAGCCAACCGCACATGTGGTTCCTAGTCCTACAATCCTCAGGGCTCTACTGAAACACCCCTTCCTCGGGGGAAGCTGTCCTGATCCCCAACTGGCCTCCATCTCCTTGCCCCCAGCACCTTTCCCTTGGTGCCACTGATCACCAGGAGTCGGCTGTATCTCCCCATCCCCCAGGAGGACAGAAGCCTCGGCTGTGTTTTCTGTACCAATCCCCAGTGCCTGGCACAGAGCTCGTCCCACACAGTGGTGCTCAGTAGATTAAGTTGGTTGGTTGGTTGATTTTGTGTCCAGACCCTTCAGGAGACTTTGGCCCTGGCCCAGAGGCTTCTAAAAGGCCCTAAATTGAGGGCCTGGTAAGTTGGTGGGATCCGACCATGAAATACCTTTGCAGGAACTGTGACCTCCAGGGGGTGTAGGGATGGCATTGTCTGTCATGGTACAGACCACCAGGAGACGTCCTGAGACTGCTGAGTGGGGAATGTACCTGTGCAGAGGGCACAGCCTGTACACACGGCAGTGCTTGCTCCCGCCTCTCTCCAGAATAGTGAACTCAGTTGAATTGTGTCCCCCAAAAAGATACAGTGAAGTCCTAAGCCTTGGCACCTGTGAATGTAGCCTGATTTGGAAATAGGGTGTTTGCAGGTGTAATCAAGTTAAGACGAGGCCAGCCCCGGTATCCTGTGTTTTTATTTGCAGAATCTGGCAACCCTTGTTGGGAAGGAAAGAAGGCATGTCAGGAGGATGGAAGGAATAAAGGTGCAGGAGAACACGCAACTGCCAGGGTTGGAAAGTAACTCCTGGTGAGCCTGGGAGGCGTGTAAACCCAATGAGTGGGGAAGCGTCTGCCTGCCCTGGCCAACCCATGGCACTAGGGCCTGTGTGGGGACGTGGGGGGCCTTTTCCTGCCTGTCCTGAGAATCTGGGCCAACAGGGAGGGCAGGCTCATCTCCAGATGCTGGGCCTGGGTGACCTGTGAATCCTTTTGACACCTGGAATCCCATAATATTAAGAGGAAGGGCAGACAAGGAGAGCGTAGAAATCTGGGGGTTTTGGCCATGCAGCTTGGAGCCACCTTGATACTCCAGGGCTTGGCAGGCCCAGGGCTGGCAGCTTGGTCTGAAACCAGGCTTGAGTGGAGGACTCAGGCCCATGAACCAGGGGAGTCACAGTGGCTGACATGGAGGAAGATGGCAGTGGGCCCCCAGTAGAGTGACCAGAGAAGCTGAGAGGACCCTGGGAGGCCCCCGCTGGGAAAGGAACACGGTTGCAGCAAGGACAGTTTCCAAACATCGCAGTCCCATGGCTGGAATGGTGGCGTTCCAGGGGCTCCTGGGATCCACATCTCCTCTCCTGGGGATAGCAGGCTAAACTGACCCCTGCCCCACCCTGCCCTGGAGGACAGCACCAGCTATGCTGCTACGCCGGGTGGGGCCTGTTCTTCCTAAGAGAGATTATCCGTCCTCAGGGGCCCTGGAACCAGGCCTCACCTCTTCCAGCCGCCCTCCCCCACCACAGAAACTCACCACCAAGTCAGGCAAGAAAAGCAAAGTGTTTATTTACACCTTGGTCTGTACACTGGAGTTCCCGAAGAAGCCTGCCTCTGAGAGCCCGCTCCTTTTTGGTGAGAAGCAGACTGGAGGCGGAGAGATGGGGACCCTGGGATGCAGCCTTGGGGCCTCGCCCCACACTCCTCACCCTGCGGCCTGGAGGTGGAGGTCTCACCCCAGCCCCAGAGCTAAGCCTGCTTCCAGATGCAGGCTCCTGGGGCAAAAGACTCAAGTGGAATCCCACGGAGAGTCAAAGCCACCAGCCAACCCCTGGGCGTGAGGCCACAAGTGCCGCTTCTTCCATCCGGGCCCCAGGACACCCAGCCAAGGCAGCAGGAAGAGCCGGGACGCAGGCAGCCAGCGGGCTGTGAGAGAGTCCTCGGCAACGCAGCCCCGGGCGGGCCTGCCACCATCGGGTGTGTGACGGCACCTGGGACTGAGCACCTTCGGCGGACAAGGAAGAGCTCGGCAGTTGTTAATGGCAGGCAGGGCGGCAGAGCAGCCTCTTCCGTCTGCCCACGTGGGGTCGGAAGCTGTTCTAGACACCAGATGGCGGTGGCCCCGAACCCAGGCCGAAGGCCAAGCACTGGGAGCCACATCGCTGGAGCTACTCCTGGGGGCTGGGTGCATCACCCGAGGGGCCCAGGGAGCTGCTGCAGACCCATGACATCCCCACACCCTAGGTTAGGAAGGGGCGCTCTGCTTTCTATCAATATTGACACCGATACAGGAAGAGGTTCGTGGGAGAAGCTGCTTTAAACAAAGTTACCCTCTCTGGTGTGCCTAAACTAGTTGTAGGCTGGATGAGGGGCTAAGCGGGTCCGAGCCCCCCAGGCTTAGGACCATAGTGAAAAGATTCTGTACTGAGTTACCAAGTCTACACAGCTGAGTGAGCGCAGGGGGAGCGGAGCCTCACTCCTGGGTACGCGTGCCGGGAGCCCTGGCCTGGGAGCAGACCTTAAGTGAGGGGACACTCTGTATACATTTATGGGGCTCAGGAAGGGCCAGGGTAAACGAGGAGGTGTAGAAAGGGGGGCAGTGGTGACATGGAAAATCCTGTACAGTGGTGCCAGGGAAGAAAAGGCACAAGGACAACGACCCCAAACCATGCAGACAAAACACAGCCTGTGCAGCACAGCAAAGCAGAAGGTCCCAGAGGAGGCACGGTCTCCCCGGGACAACAGCACTTAGATCTTGCAGGGGTGGCCCCGGGATGCCATTCCCAGCCACTCCCCTGCTGGTGGCTCAGGGCAGACTTCCCTCTGTTACAGTCACAGGGAGAGAAGGAGCCTACGAGGTCAGAGCACCAACGTCCGGTGGCGTCACTCTTTGCCAGGGTCTACACTTTTAGCAACAAGCCTTTCTAGAAAGCAGCCTATTTTCCCAGGTAGGCAGCAGAGAGCATGGCTGAAGGGCCTCAGTGTTATCCCGCCATGCAGGTAGGGCAGCCCCAAGTTTCCGGCCTCTCCTGCTCCCTGCCCTTTCACACGCACTCAGAGGAGGATGGCAGGACTCGGACGTCCCTAAGGTCAGCAGAGGGAAGGGATTTGCTCAAAGTCACCAGGGAGGGCGTGGCCCCTCTAGCTTGAGGCCCTCTAAGGGCACGCCAGTCTCACCAGCCCAAAGCTTCACAATGAAGGGGCTGCCCTAGCCCAAAGGAGGAAAGGCTGGGGCACTGCTGGCACAGAAGTCCTGAATGGTCCCTCTCCTCAATCTAAATCTAGCCCTCTAGACCTGCTCTCAAGTCGCTCTAGACCTGCCAGGTCAACAGTCATCTCCTTGGCATGGTGCCCATCCAAAACCTTGCCCTGTTCCAATCACATTGAAAGTTGGCTTTCAGGTTTAAATTTGCTAAAGCATCAAACACATACCCACAGAGCGCAGGAAGAGGGCTTAATCTCCTGCAATCCACCAGGCCCCACACTGGCCTCTGGGGGCCTTTGCCAGTTATTAAGTCCCTCATTGGAACCAACGAGCCCACGCTGTGCCCTCCTGACCTCCGGGATCTGATCTGGCCAGGGTAGAGACCAGACTTGCCAGGGGACTAGCACCTGGAGCCTCCAGAGCCTGCGCCGGGATGTTGGTCTGGCTACTCACAGGAGGAGCTGGGGGTGACCCTCATCCACCTAGCCTGAAAACAGATCAGAGGCCCACAAAGCCAGGGTCCCCGCCTGCCCAGCCTGCAAGTAGGTGGCTGCTGTTTCTGAGGCTGCTATCAGGGGGCAGCCCTGCTTGTCAGCCCCTTGCCTGTTCCACTCCCATTCCGGAATGCGCCCGTGGCTGATACATCCCAACAGGTGCCACCCACTGACTCCACGGGCACCAGGAGGAGACCTGCCCACTCAGGCTGGATCCACCAGCTCCTGAAAGCATCTGGCCTCCCACCCTGGGGGGAAGGGATCTGCTAACTTCTCACCACTCGACGTCATAACAGGAAAAGCTACCGACACCCCAGCAGGAGAACTGGCTGTCACCCAGCATCTGGATTAACAAGCCCAACAGCCATTTCCGCCGTTTTCTCTGCCTCTGGCCAGCATCCTTCTAGCACAGGGGTCTCCACCTTGAGCTGCACGTTAGCATCACTGGGGGGCTCTTGGAACATCTGGATGCCTGGGCCACAGCCACACCAATTAAATACGAATCTTGGTGGGGTGGGGGTAGAGGGTCAGCCCAGCCAGCAGGATTTTTTAAAATTTCCCCAGGTGATCCCAACGCACTGCCCAAGTTGAGAACCACTGTTTCAGGTCCAAGTGCCTCAGGAGGGCCTCGAGCTTTGCATTTTTAATAGGTCAGAAATAAACAAGGTAAATTTCCCTCTGACAATTCTCAAAGAACCTACAAATTTAAAATTGGTTAAGTTCGTGCGCTCTGCTGTAGGTAGCCCATTTCGTTGGTTCGAATCCTGGGTGTGGACATGGCACCGCTCACTGAGCCACGCTGGGGCGGTGTCCCACGTGCCACAACTGGAAGGACCCACAACTAAGAATATACAACTATGTACTGGGGTTTTGAGGAGAAAAAGGAAAAAAATAAAATTAAAAAAAAAATAACGTCTAATTCTGGTCAATTCAAAATTTAAAACAATTTTTTTTTACTAGAACTTTATTTCTTAGGCCTTCCCATGGAATAGGGCCTGGCTAAAACAGAAAGTGCTCCCTTTGCTAGTAGATGCCGTATATAAAACTCACTCGCTGGCTCAGTGAATTCTGTTAGGCTTCCGACTGAATGCAAGGAGAGCCCCGTGTCATGTAAAATGTGAGTCTGCTGCAGGACCCCGTGCCCAGGCCCCACGAAACACCTCTAAACCTCAGACAAGTTACTGCTGACTCCTATTTGGGAGAGGTGCCAGGTTGAGCAAAAAGAAAAAACAAAACCCACGTCGGACACCCAGTTAAGTTATAGTCACCTGGGAGACCTTAAAAAATTCTGATGCCTGGGCCACAGCCCACACCAGTGAAATCACAACCTCTGGGGATTAGGCCCAGTTATCAGAATTTAAAAAATCTCTCCATTTGAAATATGTCCCAAGTATCGCACGGAACAGACTTCTGCTAAAATTGCTTGCTGTCTACCTGAAATTCAAATTTCCCTGGGGATCCTGGATACTACCCAGCAGCCCCACTACTAAGAGAAAAGGGTAGAAATCTCAAATGGAGGAGGCAGAGAACAAGGGAAGTGAGAAGGGCCGGCCCTCCCTGCACCCAGAGTCAGTACAGCTCGGGAACCTGCCCAGGGGCTGTGGCCTGGGACCGGGGCTTCGGCCCCCCTCAGGCTAGCTTTCCACATCGAAAGGCATTTGAAAAAGCGACATGATCTTAAAAAGCCAATTTGACAGGCTAGGCTTTATAAGATGTATTTCGGCTGAAGAAAGAAGGTTGGGTTTAACTTGAAGTGTGTGCAACACGGAATTCAGTCCCATGTTAAAGTCAGCCCTCTTCCAGAGACCCCACGCACTGCACCGGTCCCCAGAGGCCTCCTCTGGAGTCTGTCCCCACGGCGCCCCCTCAGGGCTGACAGCGTCTGCCGCCCCTCTCCCCACGGCAGAAATTCCTTCCTATGTTGTGACTCTGCGGCCTGAATTCCCCATCAGGGCAGCTAAAGAGCATGTAAAGCTTTCCATCTACAACGCCCGTGGCTGGGACGAGCCCCCACGGGCCGGGCCCCGGGTCTGGCTGGCCTCCCTGCAGGACTCCTTCCGATGTAAAACCCAGGCCCTAGTCACATCCTGATTCGTCCTCCTTCCTTTCCTCTAATTCGTGGCCATTCCTTCCTATGAGCAAATTCCCAATAGACCCCCTCCTCATGCCCTCTCTCCACGGCCGCCTCTTCTCAGACCCTCGGGGGAGCCCAGGGAGGCCAGTGTCCTGAGGAGCTGAGACTCCCAGAAGACTGACCCCTGCCCTAGTCTTCGTGCTGTGGGTGGCCCCAAGTCCAGGCTCAGACCAGTGCGGTCCCATTACGTGCAGCATGAAACAAATCCCACTCATATGCTTAAAAAGAAATCACGAAATCCCACCCACGCGCAGCTGACTGGAGTGGGGTGAAGAGCGGTCCTGGCCACAGCGCCACCTTTGTGAGCAGGGGACACACCTGAGTTCTGGAGCCCCTCGTCACGCTCTGCGGCCCTCTCTCCTCTGCCTACGCCCCTCCACACCCCTCCCCAACATGCCCTGACTTTCCTTTTTACGCTGCAAGTGCTGAAGAAAACAAGAAACTTGCAGGGGGAAAAAAATAAGACCACAGAAATTTGTATACATCTGGAGTAAGGAAACGAATCCCAAGCCACATAAAATTGAAACAAACTGGAAAACGGAAAGGAAAGTACCATATCTACTCCCAGCTGCCTGGAACAAAAGATCGTATTAAAAATCCAGAGTGGACGTCACCAGGATGGAAGACTCAGGTTTTCCTGCAACGTCCTCCCGTGTCTCCCACCAGCACAGTGCTTGTTGCCCTGGCTGGGATACAGGAGTCTTCCTGAAAGTTGGAATGCGGGGGCCTCGCTGCCGAGCAGAGCCAAGCCTAGCTCCCATTCTGAACACCCAACCTGGAGGCGGGCCGTAAGCAGGCTGCACAGAGAACAGTGGCTGCTGAGCAAGGCCCGCTCCCAGCCCGAGGAAACCCTCAGCACGGTCCATCTCCATCGGCGCTTCTCTTCAAATGCAGCCATGGGAAAGGAGGGCCGGGATGTGCGTGTGCTCCTCCCCCAAATCGAGTCTTTGGTTGCCCAATGCCACACGTGCCTTAGACACCCCCATCCCCCGACCCCCTTCTCCTTCCTTTTCATCCCTTCATTTTACACCCAAGGGAATGCTGCATATTTTTCATTGTCTTAAAAACAAAACAAAACAAAACCAGAAAGGGAGAGGTAGGTAAGCAGGGATGGGGAAGTGTACAGAGAACTCTGAAAACACCAGAACTCTTGGAATGAAGGCCACCCCGTGCTGGTGCCTGTGCAAGCCCGGGTCCTTTGGACACACTGTGCACAAGCATCGCAGGGGCTGTCGGCCTGGAGGGCGCTCCCGAGGGCCGCTGCCTCCTCTCTGAGCTTGAGCACCTGGGCTTGAAAGGGGGCCAAAGAGGTCAGCGGGAACACAGCTGTTGGGCATTCGAACTCCTGGAAAAGATCATAATTTTGCTTCCAGTCCCGGGGAAAGAGGGGTGGGGTGCAAGAGCCTGTTGCACGAGAGTATTTCTTAATCCTTGTCCCCAGAGGTAGAATCATTTTATCCAGTATCTGAAACACACGCTTCCAGTTCTTGTTATTACAGTAACTCCTGATAGCACACCTGGCTCCCTCCCATCTCCAGGACCCTCTGCCCCCTGCAAAGGGACCACAAAGTGCATGGACAGCGAACCGTGCAGACGTCCCCTACAGCCACGGCACCATGCTCACCCCTTGCTGTGTGCAAGGCCTCCCCACATACACACCAGTACACGTTACACGGTGGCTAGAGATACGTTTACAGTGTGCGCGTGAGGCCCGGCCTGGGCCACATCCGCAGGCAGGGTGTGCCCCTTGGTCCTGGGGTCCGGGAGGGGTCTGGGGGTCCTGAGGCCACTCTGCAGCTGGCCCCCTTGTCTCAGTGTTTGATCTCGAGGATGGAGGGGTTGTGGTCCAGGATGGCGAGGATAATCTTGTCCATGTACTGCCTCAGCCGGAAGTTGATCTCCTCCTGCTCCTTCAGGGCTTCCATGAGCTGAAGGGGAAGCGAGAGACAGGTTGGAGGCTGGCCTGGGCTGGGGTATGGACGGAGCCCAGATTCCCAGGCTTGCAGTGGGCCAGTGCTCGATGACAGAGGGGCTCAGGAGACCCTGGGAAAGGCGGGCCCTACGACCAGCCTCAGCACTTGATGCTGGGACATGCGTCTAAGCCAGCGGCTCAGCTCACACCCAAGGAGTGTTAACCACGCAGGTGGCCAGGCCCACCCCCAGAGAGTCTCATTTAGCGGGCCTGTGGAGGGGCCCAGGTGTAGGCAATCCTTTGGTAAGGGTTGAGAACACTGGCCAGGGGCATTTATAATCAAGACTGACGCCCAAAGTTCCAGGGTGCTAAGCCTCAGAAGGCTGCCAACTGTTTCCTCTGCCTGGAATGGCCCCTCCCCACCGCTGGCCCTGCCACTGTCCTTCTCCAGGTCAGTTCCTGCCATGTCCTTTAGGATATAACTGAAATGCTACCTCTGCCGCAAGACTGGAGGCCGGTGCCCTGCTCACCTGGGAGCTCCTGGAGGCCAGGTCAGCTCTCAGCTCTGTGTCCCAAGTACAGGGCAAGGGGTTCAGTGGCGGTCTCATGATTTATGTGAAAATGTAAGCAGGGTATTGTGGAGGCCTGGTGTTTTATAACCACACCCTGCTGGGGCAGAAAGAGTGGGCTTTGGCGCTAGAGACCTGGGTCCCTCTCTCCCTCCACCAGTAGGTGATCCAGTGTCCTGGTCTGCTGCTCTGTGACATGGAAGTGTTTACAAAGCCTCTGAGCTGTCAGATTAGATTAAGTGAAGACAGTGCCAGCAGTGGCTCAAGAAATGCTAGCGCCCCTCCCGTCTGGGCTGGGGGGAGGGGAGTCTGGTCTCCCCTCACTACATGTCGATGAAATCACCCGGCCCTTTGGGCACATTTCTGGCAGAACTGACACTCGAACTTCACGCTGCTCCCAAAGCTGCGCTCCTCCCACCACACGCAGCAAAGTAGAGCTGATTTAACTCCGCCTGCGGCCAACTCCCCTCCCAGCTCTGCCTGGTCCCTTGGGGTAGCTGCAGACGGGGACTCCCAGGGGCCAGGCCCTGGTCTGCCTTTCCTGCTTGGGGCAGCCTGGGACCCATCATCTCAGCAGGTGGGGATGGGGTAGGACTCCCAGAGGAGGGCCCAGGCCCCAAAGCCAGAGCGAGGGGCACGTTACCTCATCGCGAGACGCTGTGTCTATTTCCGCAGCCAGACACTGGGCTTTGGTCTGAGTGGCGAAGAGGTTCTTGGCTTCGTAGAGGCTCAGACTCAAGATCTGTCCGTTCAAGTCGTCGTTCTGATCCCGCAGCTTATGATTCTCCTGTGCAGTGGGACAAACGCAACATCAGCTCCCTGAAGCATCCAGAACCCAGCGCGACCCACTTCTCTGCATCCGCCATCTCCTGACCCCCACCAGAACTCTCCCCTCAGGTGTGTGTCATGGCCCGTTTTAGGACACCCACAGAGGATGTGGTCTCTGCCTGGCTTGAGGGGAGAAGGGCTGGTGTCTGGGAGGCCTGCGAGGAGGAGTTACAGCCCTGCTCAGGGGAGCCAGGGTTCCAGAGACGAGCATGGCTCCTGGCCACCCGGGCCTCCCTAGGGCTGGGAGAACCAGAAGAGGAGCCCCTGAGGCCCTGTGTAGGGACACCACCAGACAGTGGCTCCTCCTGCAACCCTGGCCCGTGGTGAGGAAAAGCGATGCTCTAGGGTCCCTGGGCTGGGAGGTTGGCTCACCTCCTCGGCTCCTCCCGCAGCTGGGCTCTGGAATCTTGCTCCATGGGAGTTCTGTCCAGGGGCCAGCCTGTAGTGCCCTGTCCAGACCCCACTGACCAGCCCCATGCTCTAGCTTTCACCTAAAGGCTCCTAAGTGCTCAAGCTGGGGACCTTGGGTGCCCCTCGTGGACGAGGAGAAGGGCTGGGGTTTTAGGATGGCTGTGGGAGCACGACCACCAGCAACTCAGAGGTGTAATTTATACAGCTGTCTCCTGAACCTGGAGGCACTGAGCCTGGGGCTTCCTCATCATCACCCCATCCCTTGCTTAATGCCCCTCCTGACCCCACTGCCCCACCCCCCGACTGGTCTCCAATTCTGGGAGTGCTCCCGGGGACCATCTGAAATGGAATCTTGGGCTCAGGGTCTGCTTTGGGAGAAACCAACACAGCGAGCCACTAATACATGGCTGGATAGTCTCATTCTCCACCCTATGTGCCAAGGACAGAAGAGTGGTGTCTATTTCTTTTTACGGACGCCAAGGGAAGACCCTGGGATTTCCATCAGACGCAGCCTAGAGGTGAGGCACCTTCCTGAGCTGTGAGACGGGGACCAGCAGCCCTGACAACCAGGGGTGCCGAGAGGAGCAGACATGTACGAGAAGGTGGTGCTACAGCTCTCAGCCCCCTTCAGGAAACCTGCCTGGTGGGGACCTGGACGCCTTATCCTGCCAGACAGAGGCTCCCAGGCCCACCTGCTTGAGCCGCTTGACTTCATGCTCCAGCTCCACCTCGCGGGCCCTGGCATTGAACTCGCCCAGACCAGAGGATGAGCTGCGGCCCCTGCCCGGCCGCTCGCAGTCCAGCTTGTACATCTGCAGATGCTCCAGCTCCTTCCGCAGGTCTTCAATGAGCTGCGTGGGAGAGAGGCTGGTTGGTGGGAACAGGGGCGTGGGAGGGAGCCCTGGGGGCCTCTGGCCTGGCACCCACCTCCTGCGTGGCCTCCCGTTCCTTTTGGAACTCGAGGCGGTTCTGCCGCAGCTTGTCCATCATGCGCTTGTACAGGTCCATCTCGTCCTTGAGCCGCAGGCTGGTGTCCTCCAAACGGTCGGACATGCGCTGCCGCTCCTGAAGCCGGGGAGACCAGGCCAGGGGAAGTGTGTGCCCAGAGGAGGTCACCACACCCCAGGGACTTCGCTGGGTCAGCCAACTCGACAAATGGGCAATCAGACAGAGCCCTCTGACTCGTGGCTTAAAGAAATGGCCAGATCCCCTAGGATCCCCTGGGATTCTAGAAACAAGCTAGAAAAATCTCAGGCCTCTGAAGTCCTTTAGTTATGCCAGAGAGAACTTGAACAGGAGGTTGCAGACCAGATAGAAGCTAACTTCTTTCTCTCTTGCTTTTATTTTCCCCATCATACAAGGAAAATTGGAAAAGCAGAAATATAGAAAGAGAAATTATTCATATTTTGCTGCCCGTTTTTTGGGGGGGAGAGCAATTGTAGTAAAATTTCAGAAACTAGAAACTAAAGGCCTTCAACGGCCAGCATCGTGTCTCTGTGGATTCAGCTCAAGATCCAAGCGTGAGAGATTCCTGGATGTGCTGCTCACCTCATCCAGTTTCTCTGTTTGCGACTTGAGCCGAGTCACTGTCGTTCTAAGCTCGGTATTTTCTTCCTCTAATTGCTGCACTCTGGGGAAAGAAGGGCGAAAGTGTCAGAGATGGAGATGATCTTACAATGGGTTGACAATTTGTGGCGATTCTCTGCTCCCTGGAGGAGGTGATATACCAGAAAGCGAGAGAGCGAGCAAGAGAGAGAGAGAATAGGAATAATTGTTCCAAATGTTAATACAGCCTTGAGCTTCCCGTCATCCAAAGCAAAATGGTAAAGACACTGAATTGCCTTTCTTATTTTTCTGATAAAAGGAAACACTCATTTGTGAATAAGAACACAAGATTCTTTTTGGATGCCTCCTTAGGGCCTGAATCAACACAGAGAGGATGTTTTTCTGCTAAATGAAGAGAAGGCTTCCTGTGGCTGGCTGTGGCAGGGGCCCGCCGTTAGAATTCACAATTTGAAGGCAACCACCGTATGTCTTTCATTCTCCCCCAGCATCTCGCCACGGCTCTTCCCCCTGAGCGCTCACTGCAGCTGCCTCTGACATCCACAGGCATTGGTTCTGACAGTCAAAATCCTCTGTGTCAGTGTTCACAAGGGACTGTCCTAACAGGATTCCATGAGGAGACAGAGCCCGGGGATCCCGGTGGGTTGTTTTTTGAGGAAGATTAGCCCTGAGATAACATCCGCTGCCAATCCTCCTCTTTCGCTGAGGAAGACTGGCCCTGAGCTAACATCCGTGCCCATCTTCCTCTACTTTATATGTAGGATGCCTGCCACAGCATGGCTTGCCAAGCAGTGCTATGTCTGCACCTGGGATCTGAACCAGCAAACCCCAGACTGCTGAAGTGGAACATGTGAGCTTAACCACTGTGCCACCAGGCCGGCCCTCAGGTGGGTTTTAAATAAGCTGAGAAGAGGGGCAGGTGAGTTGAGCTATCCATCAGTGGCACCAGAACACTACAGGCTCATTTCTGGCATGGTTTCCCACAGAGCATTCCCTGTCCTTCCCACTGTCACTTCCTCCTTCCTGGAGAGATGGCTTTCTGGCCTCCAATGGGCTCCCCAGGAGAGGCCCCAGGCCAGGACCAGTGAGGAATTCAGACCCACCACCCATGCTCTGACCAGGCCACCTGATAGGGGACTTGAGATGGTGGAGGATGCAAGGAGCAAAGCACACCACATGATGCTGGGAGCACTGTCTGCATATTATCCATGAACAGCGCCCCCTGGAGTTGTGCAAGGGGCACAGGTTAGGAGATGGTTCCCAAGAGGGCTGGCTTTCTGTGCTTTGGCCTTAGGCCTACACTCACACTGTCTTCTTCCGCCACCCATGGCCCAGGCACCTTGCTCAGGCCACCCGGCCAGGCCAGCAGTTAGAAGCAGACAGAGAGCAGTGACACTTAATGAGGTATGAGCCTCCAGAAACAGATGCAAGCCAGCAGCTTCTAGAACATGAGTGAAAACTTAAACTGAACCCTGGTCAATAAAGTTAACAAAGTGGGTCTCAGGTACAGGGAAGTTGGAAGGTCTCCCCGCCAAACTGTGCAGGGGCCTGGCCCCCCAGTCCCCTTCGGGCCTGCTTGACCTCAGCAGGCAGGGAAGTACCTGCCCGCCAGCTGTGAGCCCACCTCCCCACACTCCCTAGACCCCAGGCTGGGCCTAGCAGACCCCAAGAAGGCTCAGCTAGGGACCGGGGACTCAGGGGCCTGAGGAGTACGGGGGCAGCCGTCCTCTCTGCCAGAGGCCCAGGTGGTGTCACCGGGGTCAGCAGCGAGGGCAGTCCTGGAACATCCTCACTGCCCTCGTGTGTGTGCAGTGTTCTGCTGTGCACCAGCTCTCCCGCACTCACGGTCACTCCACAGGCAGGGAGGAACAAGAGATGGGGAAACTGAGGCCTGGGGTGTGAGCCAATATGCCCAAGATCCTTGAGCTGATGGGTGACTGACCCAGATTCCTAGGTTAATACTCCTGTTTCTGTCTCAAGTTCTAACAGCTACACCCAAGGCACAGGAGCCCTTAACACTGGGGCCTGGCTTTTCCAGTTCCCTTAGCCCCTGGGGCTCAGGGTCAGTGGCGAATCTGACAGCAGGGGGCGCTCCACGCATGGACATTAGTCCCAGCCCAGGAGTTGGGGCAAGACCACTGTTGTCTACTGCTCCTCTTGTTGACAGCCAGGCGTGCTGTTTCCAGTTTTACCTAATACGAACAATGCTGCTATGAACACTCTTGGACATGCTTCCTAGAGTCCATGTGTTCAGACATCAAAGCAGAGGTGTCAGAACACCAGGTTTTCCCTCTGGCTCAGTCTTCCCGTCTACAGAATGGGGTAGCGCCTGCCCCACAGGGCTATATCGGGAGCGAGGGCGGATCAGAGGGCAGAGGCTCTGCGGAAGGGCCCACCTGGTGTTGAGCAGCTCGATCTCGGTGCTCTTCTCGCGCTCCAGCTTGCTGTAGGCCTCACGGTGCCGCCGCGCCTCCTCCTCCAGCGCCTGCTCGGCCATGGTCTCCTGATCCTTCACCATCTCCTCCAGCTCGTGCACCCTGAGGAGAGGCAGGGACTCCAGTCCAGAGCCATCTCTCGTGGCCTGTGTCTTCTCACGCCAACACAGCCTGCGGCCATGGGGGAGCCCAAGACCCTGAGTCGCTAACACCCGTGACTGTGGGAGGTGGTGGTGTGGGCACCAGGCCTGTGGGCCAGCAGCTTTGTTGACAGATGAGTTAGAGCCCCCAGGGCACCTAAGGAGAGGTGTCTCAGCCACGCACGCCACAGAGGGGCAGGCCTGGCAGTGGGTCCAGAGGGCAGTAAGGCTGTACCCGAGAGGGCGGGACTCCCAGGGCTGGCACAGGAAGGGATGCAGGCCTCGCCACGGCGGGATGAAACGGCCCTCAGGTCTCACCTCCTCTTTTTGCTCTGTTTGCTCTATATCAGTACCCTTCTGATCCATAATTCAGCTTCTGGCTAGTGGCCCAGAGCATGTCAGCCCTGGGGAAGGGCCAGGCCCCACTGTGGATGTCATGACCCCACTGCTGGTGGCCTGGTTGGTACATCCGTCTGGGACACATTTCACTGGCAACATTCCATCCATGAGGCTGACCTTCTGGGGTGTACAAAAGGTCCCATCTTTGGGCCCTACAAGGTTGAGGACCAGACCCCAGGCGGGCATCAGTTTACTGAGTTTCAGGCCACGCCATGAAGACAACTAAACTCTATGTGCACTGACTTCGTGCAGGTGGCAGTGGGGACGTCACGTTCAGTGGGTGTCCATCGGGAGGCGGACACAGCAATGCTGGGACTCCTCCCACCCATAGCAGGTGCGAGCCCCCCACTCACACCAGCCTCCCCCACTCTGCAGAGCTTGTCCCCCAGGAAGGGAGGTCGGCTCTCATCAGCGTAGGACAGAGACAGGAGAGTGGATCCCAACTCCTGCCTTAGACCTGCCCTGGGGCTGCAGACCTGGGGCTCAAGGTCAGGCTCCACCTGTGTCCCTGTCCCCAAAGACCTGTCCTCCTGGGCACCCTGTATGGGCAGGGCCATACAGCAAGGAACTGATGTGTCACAGACCCTCAGAGGTGGAAGGACATACGGGCTCCCTCCTCCAGCTTCTTGCAGGGGCCTTAGCGCCAGGACAGGCCTCCGTTCCCCCGCGTCACAGGCCCGGCCCCTGACCTGTGCACTAGCTGGGTGTTCTCCTGCTTCAGCTTGCTCTTCAGGTCCCCATTGGTCAGGCTGTCATTCTCCAGCTCTGTCACCTTTTTTTCCAGGAAGCTCACCTATAATGGAGGGGCAGAGGTGAGGGTGGAGAAAACCTTTGAGTTCGCAGGACTGAGAACCTGGAAACCATCGGACTGACAGCCAGGACCTCCAACTGACCACGTAGAAAGAGAAGGGTCATATTGGGGGGCCACCTACCCCCAACTCCTGGGCAGGGACAGGGTCTCCCAAGTCCCCAGAGAGCTCCCCACTACCCCAGGGAGCATGCACACATTAAACCCCTCCTCCATTCACCCACGACGCACCTTCTCCGTGATGTCATTGTCACAGGAGTCAATGCTGTCCCGGAACAGGTCCTCAGTGCTGCCATTACTGCTGCTAAAGTTGCTGCTGTGCATGAGCTGCCTGCAGGGATGGAGGGAGGCACAGCTGGCTGCAGAGGTCAGCTGTAGACTGGGGTCCAGACTCAGGCCACGGGCTGGGAGAGTAGCCAGTACCCCAGGGAGGGTGCAAGGAGCCCCTCTCAGGAGGCTGCCCCCACCTGGTCAGGAGAGAAGAGGTGCCTGACCTCTGAACTCAAGAGATCATCCAGCTCAGAGGACAGCAGCCAGGCTGCTACGCCCCTCCTGAGCCCATGGCAGACATGGCCAATCCATCCCAGCTCTAGCCTGCTGCTCCATCGAGCCCACAGCTACCAAGTGACCAGAGCTGGTAGAGCCCTTCCACCCTTTCCAGCTGGAAAACTGCCCAGCAAAGGCAGCCTGGCTCCACATCCCAGCAGGGGGTCTGGGCCTCCTGAGCCCACCCAGCAGGGCTCAATGTCCTCCGACAAGCTGGCTCCTGCTACATCTCTGGGGATCCTGGGGGAGAGAGACACACCCAGACTGTGCCAGGCAGTGGGTTGGTGAGTGGGGCTAGAAACAGGCAGATGCTGTCAAGGTAACCTTTGCCTGAGGCAAACCCGCTGCCTCTCCCCAGGGGCTCCCGCTTCCCTCTCCCGACAGACAGCAGCCAGGATCTGTGCCAGGAGGCCATCCCACATCAGCTCCTGGGCCAGAGCCTGCATGCTCACTGGTAGCTCCCAGAGCCCTGGGGCCAGTCCGCAGGAGGACCAAGGCAGGATCCTGGCAGTCCTGGGAAGGCAGCCGTTCAGAATTTAACCTGGGTCTAAGGGACCAGCTTCCAAGGGACACACTCACGCCCCATCCCTGCCAGCGGCAAGCCTGGGGTCTCTACTGGAACAGCCGCCAGCTCCAGACGGTGAGGAAGAGCACTCACGCTAGGATGTGGGCCGCGTCTCTCGGGGCATCCCTGGCGTGCCTGGCTGAGGCTGAGGCAGCTGAGGGTTTGGAGATGCTGACCGCTGCCAGAAGGAGCAAGGGGTGGGGATGGAGGAGGCTGGCCCTTCTTTTTCAGAAGTGGGTCTCCTCTGGCTGCTCCACCTGCACTGCCCTGGGATGCCTCACTCTCCTCGGCTCAATCAGCCACACTGGCTGGGGCTGGGCTGCTGGCACGGAGCTGGCCACCCCGGCAGCAGGAACACTCAAGGGGGCAGCATTCAACCCCTCCTCCCAAGGGGGGCCCTTACCGTCCAAAGGCCGTGCTGGAGATCTTTCGGTTGGGGCTGGAGAGGGAGAGAGAGAGGAAATGGTCATTGAACAGAGGGAGCACTGGTCCACTCCCTACTCTGCCCTGGCTGCAGGATAGCTTCCTGCCCCGCAAGGGGAATCCACTCATCTGCTGGGTCCTGAGAAGCAGCACCCGGATTTTCCTGTTGCAAAAAACGCAAGCCTCCAGGAGTAACCCCATTCAGAGCGCTCTCCCCCACCCAGACCGAGGGGGCCACTTGGCTGGGGCTTTGCCCTCTGCTCCCCACCCTGGACCCCGCCGCTACACTGGGCCCTGGGGCCTCACCTGTTGGCCTTCAGGTTTTTCAGTCGGGCCTCCAGGTCGTTCAGCAGGTTGATCTTCTTGCAGCACTGGGAACAGTAAACGTCCAGCAGTTCGCTGTTGTACACGTGCCGCATCTTCCTAGGGGTCTGCCCCGCGCTGATTCACGGGAGAGAAAGGAATCACCTCCTTAGCTGCCATCCAGTCTGGTGCCCTGCCCCATCCTGCCGAGCTTACTTTGCTGGACTCCCCACTGCCTGTGGACTGTGTGTGTGTGTGTGTTGGGGGGAGGTGGAAATACAGCAACAGATCTTCCCTCCTTCAACACCCTCAAAGAGAAGAAGCCTATGGCTTGTCCCTATTTCACAGATAAGGCAAGTAAGAGCTGACGTCAGAGGACGTAACAACTCAGGTGTGTGGGAAGGTCAGTATGGCACCTGGAAGGACCCTTTGACACTGAGGTTCCAGGAAGCAAGACCACAGAGACCCTGGAGTCGGCAGCCTCCCAGGTTGGTTAATTTTGTTTCTTCCCCAAGACAGAAGGAGGGAGGAGAAATCCCAGACCCGCAATCAAGGGGCACCCCTAAACCTCAGGAGCAGATCCCATGTTGCTCAGGAGCCTGCCAGCCGAATGTCCCTGGGATGAGGTTGGGTTGGTTCTGCCACGTTTCCTGGACCCCAAATGCCATTCCAGACCCAGGGGCCACCTGGAAGACACTGAAGACCCCAGGTCCGAGTAGACGTTGGTCCTGGTCTCGTCATCGGGGCAGGGGCTGCTGGGGGCACAGTCCACGTCATCCCCCTCCCCATAATCTTCAAACTGCTCCTCGTTGCTGATGAGTGAGGTGGTGGAGTGTGTGGAGAGGTCGGACGTTGTCATGGACGGAGTGTGGACCAGGGACCTGTGGCAGAGAAGGGTTGGCCATCAATGACGCCCCGTCTCCCGAGGTCCATGGGCTACGGGTACCAGGAGCCGGACTAAGTATGCACTTTTTGACCTGGGAAGTACACTTTTGGGACTTTATCCTAAGGGAGCCATCTCACCCAAAACTTTCTTCACAAGAGAGATTCAAACCAACGCTTGTCCAGAGCAGCAAAACGTTGCCTGCCACCTAACGGTTTACCTACAGCTACATTAGAGTATGGTTATTAAGTCAGAATACGTAGTAGCTAAATGATTACAATTATTAAATTATAGTCTGTACTACTAAATGAAATTATCATGGGCTATCAAATAGCTGATACAAGGTCTATAAAAAATATTAATGTGGAAAAATTAATATAAATTAAAAGTTAGACATAAAATTTTAGATCTAGTAAGACTGAGCAGTTAAAAGGTCTATACAGAATAAGGAAAAGCAGGAAATAAAAATATTTAAGTGGTAAGCGGGCTTGGGTTTAGGTGGTGGGACTGTGAGTAAAGTAAGTTACTTCCCCTCCATTCTCGTTTTTCCTACCTTCTTCAAGTTCTGTTTAATCGGCTTGTACTCTAATAAGGAAACGAAGTTTTACTTTTTTACTTTTTTTTTTTTTGAGGAAGATTAGCCCTGAGCTAACAGCTGCTGCCAATCCTCCTCTTTTTGCTCAGGAAGAGTGGCCCTGAGCTAACATCCATGCCCATCTTCCTCCATTTTATACGTGGGATGCCTACCACAGCATGGCTTGCCAAGTGGTGCCATGTCCACACCTGGGATCCAAACCAGGAAACCCCAGGCCGCCAAAGCAGAATGTGCATACTTAACTGCTGCGCCACCAGGCTGGCCCCAAGGAAACGAAGTTTTAAAATAAACAATGAGCTGCTAGGTGAGACCCTTCTCCCAGTTTACAGAGAGGATTTCTAGTCCAAAGAACACAGGTCAGAGACCCTGGGCCTCTCACGGGTGACCCACGGTGTGGCCTGGGACAGTACGTGGGGCTGGCTGAGCCCTGACTGCAAACTAAGAACAAGGAGAAGTACACCTCTTCACCTGCCAAAATATAGCTTCCCTCTGTGTCCCGCTACCATCAGTTAGGGTTCCTCCAACTTACCGAGCTTGCACACTAAAAACGGCAAACCTGAAACAGCGCCAAGAAGCGTGTCACGGGTTAAGGCAGTAATTCTCAAACTGCGCCCCTGAGGAAGCCTGGTCTCCATCTAAGAATCACAGGGTCACCGCTGGGTGCTCAAGATCAGGTCTCCTGGTACCTCCAGCCTATTTTGTTAATTTAGTTATTTATCTGCCTCGTACTCCTCAGTTCTTTCTCCCATAAACTTTACTAAAGCTCTTGGCACCTGCCGCTGGCTGCCTTGCGGTGACGGGTCCCAGGAAACAGTGGAAACAATCCAGTGGCAAATGATTGCCAAAAGATCAACAGGTCTGAGACCTGGGACCAGTGTCCTTGCGTTGGTTGGTCTTAGGCAGGGCTGAGGGGCGTTCCCAGGAAGCGACAGGAACCAACAATTCCAAAGGCCCCAGCCAGAACACAACGACTGCCAGGGCGCCCTGAGTTTGAGAACTCCCTGCACTGAGAAAAATGAGTTAGGTTGAACCACACGAAATTGCCTTTTACGAGAAGGTTGAAAATGATTAGAAATTGACAATTTCATATGGTTCAACGGACACTGGGACCCCGTTCCTCCCTCTGGAAATCTCTGGGTCGGCCGTGCCCATCGCCTGCTCCTGAAGTGTGGAGTCCAGACAGTTTTAACTCACTTGTCCTCTGGCAGGAACAGGCCCCTGAGGCCCCCATCTTTCTCCTCGGCAGGATTCCCGACCAACCCCTCCAAGCTCTGGGTGCCGTCCATGGGGCTATCCATGTCTGACTCCGGGGGGCCCTCGGGTGGGGCCAGAGACATAGCCTCCTCCTCGTCGGGAAAGAAGCCAGGCTCCCTGGGGAGGAGCTCGCCATCAGCAAAGGTGGGGTCTGGCACCTCACTGCCCTGGAAAAGACAAAGGGGCACAGAATGAGTGAGGCTGGCTCCCTGGGGCTCAGCCCCCTCATCAGCTGCAAGGGACAGCGGGGATGGTGACGCAGGAGGCCCAGACCCCGGACCTCGAGGATGAGAACTCCTGGCAGGTGATTCCTCCCAGGGCCGCTCACACTGGCTGCCTCATGCAAGCCCAGCGAGGAGTGGGAATCTGCAGAGACAGCCGTCCATGGAGGAGAGCCACGGCCAGGCCAGCCACATGCTTCAGGGCGCCCAGACAGCTCACCAGGGCTGCCGTCACAAAGTCTGCACAGGAAGCCAAATGACTTGCAGAAGGCGTCTTGGTGACTGATTGAAGGGCACAGCCACAATGAACGGACCCTGACCCAGTGGGGCTTGATGCAGCACAGCGTAGGGAATGTGTGCACAGCATGGGGTCTGCCCTCCATGATTCTGAGCCCATCAAACAACCTCTCTGAACCTCAGTTCTCTTCTCGGTAAACTAAGAATGGCAATGGAATCTGACGGGGTCGTGTGTCTCAGTAGGACCTCAATGAATAAACCCCAGCCACAGGACATGATGCCAACCGGGGAGGGACGGTCTGTCTTGGGCCTGCCACAGCCATGCTGGGGAGCAAGAACACCAGGTCTTTCAATTCTGAGCTTTGGGCTGGTCCCCAGTGCCTACCACACTGCCTGGCACAGTGTCCATGTGCAACAAAGATTTGCCCGAACCTTCTGCTAAAATCTTCTTATAGGAGAAGCATTCTGGCTTTACTCAAAGTTTACCCCCATCTGAGAGGGAGCTCGCTGCAAACCATTTCTTGGGGCTGCTTTGCCTCTAAGGAGGCAGATGCCTCCGAGGTGGCACTGCCTTCCCCTGCTCCCACCTGAGATGTCAAGCCACTCCCAAGGTTCTTCGGTGTGCTCCTTGCTAGGGCTGGCAGAGCCCCCCATTCAAGGTGCTTCCTCCAGCCCCAGGGCTGCAAGAAGACCAATAGCAACAAGGCTGTGAAAGGCCTAGGGCATCTCAGACAAGGACAGGATTGGGGATACCCAGGGAAGCTGGTCAGTGACAGGCTTGACTGTGCCTGCCCGGCCACATACAGCTGTCTGCTGCCATTGGTGAGCAGGCAGCCCTGCTGGGGGTCTATCCCAACCAAGACATCCACGGGCTAAGAATAGACGGCGATTAATGAGCTTGGCTCCTGCCTCTGCCATGACTCAGGCTGAGCACCAGATGGACCAATAAAGTTGACACAGGCAGCCAAGCGCCCCTGTCGGGGCTGAGGGGCTGTGTAATTAAAATCACCCCTAGTGTTCCCACAGCCCTTTCCAGCTAGATGTCACTAACCCAATCCCACATGGCTCCCAACCTTACCAGATCTGGTACCCTAAGCCAGCTCTTCGTCTGCAAGCCTGAAGCCACACCCAAGTAGAAACAAAGGGAACCCACACTGACTGAGCAGCCACCAAGTTCCAGAGACGGAGCTCAGAGTTTATCCATAGTAACCCTTTTGGGCTTCATGACAACTCTTCAGGACAGCGATTCTTGTCCCCATTTTAGTAATGAGGAAACCAAGGCTGAGAGAGTAACCTGCCAGAGGTCCTCTGGCCAGCAGGCAGAGGACCCCCACCTGTCTCTGGCCAACACATGCTTGGTTCCATTTATTATTGATGCAACCCACACTTTGTGGATTTTCACACCTCAGAGTGACGATGGGGACAGCACACGTCATAGGGACAGAGTGCTAATTACGAGGCCCAGGCACTCCCCCCAGTGCTGCCCACCTCCTACCCGAGCAGGACACCCTCTGGGTCAATGCATGGACACTTGAAGAGAAACCAGGCAGGAGGGAGAGAGCCTCCCAAGGAGAGCTGGGGAGCAATGCGCATGCTCTGCTCCTTTGTCTGCAAGTTCTTCCCCTTCCCAGACACACGGGCAGGGGAAAGTGAGTGCTGGCGAGGCATCCTTGCTCTGTGGCTTACGTGACATTCGGCCGCTTTGCAAGTGGGCGTGTCTCAGCCCTGTGTGTTGGGTCTCCTTTCCCCCTCTGTGTAGGTGAAATGACTTGCCCGGGGCCACGTGGGAGTTAGTGGCAGCGCAGGGCTGGGACTGGACTGTGAGTCACCAGTGCCCACGCTCTCCCCATGGTGCTGTGTCAGCAGGGGTCCTGAGGAGGCTGCCACCCACCCTGCTCCCAGAAGGCAGGCAGATGCCAAGGGGACACCAGCATCCATGCTCCTCAAGTGTCCAGCTTGGCCTCTGGGCAGCTCACGTTTGCCTCACTGGACACCAAGATACTGAGGCCGAGTTTCTGCCGGGCGCCCTGGCCTGAGACACCCAACTCACATATGCAGGTGGGGACCAATGGCCCCCGCTCACCCAATGTCTCACAGCAACACACCCATACTCCTGGCAGCTGGCCCAAGGGCCTGACGAGGGTTGAAAGAGTGGCCTTGAGGGGCTTGTCACAGCCACAGGTGGGGCAGTAGAAGGGGTCAGCTGTCCCCGGAGGGGTCCTTTCCTCCCAACAAGACCACCACCTCCTTGGGCATATTTTTAACCTCTGGCTGAGCAGAGTCCACATGTGCCTGGCCCTTCACACTGGACAAAGCGTCCTGTCCGTCTGTATCCCACGCACACCCCCATTTATCTCTAACAACAGCTCCGGGAGGTGCAGGGGGCAGAGAGGAAGGATTCATTGTCTCTGTCTGACACAGGCAGGACGAGGCTCGGAGTAGGAGGCGGCTGCCCTGGAACTCCCAGCTACAGAGGACCCCACTGAGACCTGAACCAGGCTCCCGACGCACCAAGTCTGGGCATGTGCACACAGGGGTGTGCGAACACACACTCTCTCTCCCTGAACATGCCAGCCTTTTCTCTTAAAATTAGTTGCTCCCTAAATCAATACCTTTTCTTTCAACCCACAATTGTTTGCCCAAGGCAAGGGGAAATTTTAATTATAACTTCAAAACCATTTCTAGTGGTTTTCCCCTAAATTCAAATAATATAAAGACAGCTAGAAGAAAAGTAACTAACTGTGCACCTTGGTTCGTCTGGGCCAGTACCGCTTAGGCATTTGTCCTGGACAAAAGTGGCCCTGTGCCCTGCTCCTCCCTGAAGGCCTTGGCCCGGCCCAGCTCCCATTCTCCTGCAGCCTCTGGGGAAGGCCTGGGTGCAGCAACAGGCCTGGGAGGGGTGCTGCCTGCTCCGACCACAAATACCTCAGGAAAGGAGGCAAAGCAGGGGCAGCTGCTGGAAGGTGCTGGAAGGTGCGGGAAGGCAACCTCTCATCCCCACCCTGAGCCACTACTCATCGGCTGGGAGAACCTGAAAGTCACATTAGAAACCCTTCTGAGCCCGTGAGTTTCTTCTGTTTTTCAGATGAAGGTACAGAGGGAAAGGAAGGGCTCGTTCACAATAAAAAACATTGTCCTCACGGGGTTCCTAGGCGGCCTGGGAAGAGGCTCCATCTGATTCGACAGCACAGCTACCCTCCAGCCAGGCCTCCTGGGCAGGTCAGGGCCCCGCCCGGAGGCCCCGTGTCATGTAAGCACGTAAGCTGCTGAGGAGAGGGAATCTTTGGGGAATGTGGCGGAGCAGGAGGTTAATGCGCCCGGGGTGGTCAGGAAAATTCTACTGCTGTTGCAAGTCCAGCCGAGTTCCCGGACAGACCCCAGGCTGATGCCGGGTGGCGGGATGCTGAGCGGCAGAAGCCCCAGGGTAGAAACGTCGATGTTTCTATGCGGAGAACTCGAGGCCTAGGGCGCTGCCCGCTGGCCCAGGCCACACGGTCTGCGTCGGGATCTCCCTCCACAGCAGTGTGCCCCTTGGGGTGCAGAGGATGCCCGGGGCAGGGCCCCGGAACTGAGGCCTGCTCTGGAGGGGCGGCAGGACGAGGGGAGCAGTGAATGGGTTTCACAGAGAAGGTGTCTGGTTTTGGGGCCTTTAGGGAAGGGACAGCGTCCTCAGCAGGAAGCTCTGGGAAACATCAATGGGTAACCTGTATCCCCAGGACTGTCCCTTAGGACCCAGAGCCAGGCCTGAGCACAGAGCTCCTGTCCCCCCAGGGCCAGTCACTGTGGGCCACACAGGCACGGCTGGCCTATGTCCAGACCACTCCTGGTCACCTCCTTCCACCCTGCTGAGGGGTCCCAGCAGTGAAGGGAGATCAAGGGGGTACAGTGTTCCTCCACAAGCCCCAAGACACGCCTGTGAGTGGGGCTGGGTGAAGGCATGGCTCTGGAACCTGGCAGGGTGGGTTTTAGTCTCGGCTGGCCTGGCCACTCACAAGCTGTGTGACCTTGGGCCAGTGACCTCTGAGCCCCTGACTCCTTACCTATAGAATGGGACAGCCACCTCTACCTCAGAGGCTACTCTGAGGGCCACACATGACAATTTGCACAAGCACCAGTGTCAGCAGCTGAGGGAGCACTCAATTCTCATCTGGCCTTACTAGGCGCTGCGCGTTGCAGAAGCCAAGCCATCCCTATAGCCCACAGGTCCCGGCTACTCAGCCAGCGAGCTCCTGGACAGACAGGAGGCCAGGAGGTATGCCCTCCTCAAGAGGCTGGGCCTGGGGAACTATCCAAGATCGGAGGTTTCGGGAGAGTTCTGAGGCTCAAGGCTGTGGAAACAGGCCCAAGTCAGCCACGCTGGCAGGGCCGGTCCACATCACTATTATCCCCCTCCATGTCCCCATCCTGTCTCCATCTGGGCTGGATGGAGCTGGCCTCGTCTGGGGGTGGGAGCCTGGAGCACACAGCCTACCTGTGGGCCCCTCTCCAGTCTCAAGAGCAGCGTTTATCCACCAGCAGGCCCCAGAGTCACCCCTTCCTCCGTAGGAAGTTGGCATGCGCTGAATGCAATGGCTTGTGAAAAGGCCAAGTATCAATACCCACGTGTGGTGGGGGGGGCATCCAAGCCTCAGAGTGGCTGACGATGCCCCACCGTCCACGCTCTCAGAGCAGGGTGCGGAGGGGCCCAGATGCCAGGACCTCATCTGGTC